GGAGGGGCTGTTCCAAGATGGCGGCCCCCAGGGGCGCGGCAGGCCATGCGGCCAACATGGCGGCTGCCAAGTCAGGCAGCTCAAAGTGGCGGCTGTCTACACTGTTCTCTGACAGAGCAAACCAAAACCCCTAGAAGGTAGATGGCCAACATTATATTGTAGACAAACAGAAATCTCATTAGCTGTTTATACCCTTTATAATTATCTTAAAGAATATTAATCAAATTTAAACTGGTTTTTGTATTAAAAATTTCAGTTGAGATCTTAAAAATTAATCCTCTTTTTAAAATCAGACCAAGAAGTAACATATTTTGAATTCCTAATCATTTAAGAGAAAACACATTCTATTTTTTTCAAAAACAAGTTATACATTAGATATTTAATTAATTTCTCCCGATTCAATTTGCACTTTAAACTTTCAGAGCTTTAAATCTTAGACATTTCAAATAAAATATAAGGCATTTTCAATTAATAGATTAACTTCTATCTTCTAGACTTCATAATAGGCATACTCAGATCAACATTTCAGTATTATAAATTTCAATACTTTTAGATGATTTGAACTTAAAAGCTTTAAGTTTCCAGCCAATAAGCCTGGCATAGCTGCTAAAATGGTCACAATTTTCCCGTTGGGGAAGTCAAGAAACAAACCCATAGCTATTCACATGTAAACTGGACTATCAACTTCCTGGTGGTACTTGCCTCAGGGCGGGAAATTTCAAAAGAGCTACTTTAAATCGCCTTGGGAAACCTGCCTGTATTTCTTTGTCAGGTTCATCTCGGCCTTTTTTAAGGCCAAAACAGTCTCGGGTTTTTATTCTGTACACAGCAAAAGGTCAAGTTCAGCTCAAAACTATGCGCACTCGTTTTTATTTTTATTTTTATTATTTTTTTAAAATATATTTTATTGATTTTTTACAGAGAGGAAGGGAGAGGGATAGAGAGTTAGAAACATCGATGAGAGAGAATCATCGATCAGCTGCCTCCTGCACATCTCCCACTGGGGATATGCCCGCAACCCAGGTACATGCCCCTGACCGGGATTGAACCTGGGACCTCTCAGTCCGCAGGCCGATGCTCTATCCACTGAGCCAAACCGGTTTCGGCCGCACTCGTTTTTAAACTGGCCTTTTCCCTTTACACGTGCACAGAAATCCCGGATGCATTTATAAATTTGTAAACGCTTTTCAATTACAAGAAGGATTTTAATTTTAGAATACTTGGGGAGGGGGTGACCTGTTTCCACAGACCCTCACTCAGGCGGCCGCCCGACCGCCACACAAAGGAGGGGTGAGAGCAGTCCCCCTCCCTCCACATTCATTTAGAGTTTATACAATCCATTCAATTCCTAACAACTTCCCCATTCCTGAGGGAGCTCTAAAGCCTCCCCCAATCTCCTTGAAATTATTAATCCAGCAAGTCCACAAAATAAAACGGAAACACAAACAACTAAAGGGCCCAAAAAAGTACAGCCTTCCAACTCCATGGAAGCAAAAACTGAAAGCTAGACGTTGGCTGCGCGCCAACCAGCAGGAGCGACCCGCCTTTTCTCAGATTGAGGGGTTCCTACAGACCTTCCGACTCCGCGGAAGCAAAATTTCCCCTCTTCAGATGGAGGATCGGGCCGCCCCCCTACTCCTCCTGCCTGTCTCAGATTAAGGGGTTTCCTACAGACCTTCTGACTCCGCGGAAGCAAAGCTATACCCCTTCAGATGGAGGATCGGAACGTCCCCCGGCTCCTCCCGCCTGTTGATCCCGTGCATCCACTCAGATCATTATTACAGGCATTTACAGGTATTTACAGATTTCAGAAGTGAGCTCACACCGGATAGATACAAAACAAAACACACGACACAAACAAAACAAGACCTACCGCGGTCAGTCAGGCCCTCCGGACTGTCAGTCCCCTCAATGGTGTTGGGGATCCCGGTGAGCCCCCAAAATGTTATGCCCAGAATTCAAGATCCCCAAGAAACCATGCCAGGGAGCCAGTCCGATGCAAAAGCAGAAGGTCCTTTATTGAGTTAGCTAACCCGACCCGGGCCTCCAGTCGATGCAGCCACCGGAAACCGAGTGAGACCCGTGTGAAAATCAGGGCTTTAATAGTGAGGGGAGGGGAGCTGGCTGTGGCCCTGCCGATTGGCCGGGCGCAAGTCGGGTCTTGTTACACAGGATGTGGTCATCTCTATGGCGCGCACATCCCTTGCTTGTCATTGGTTAGTTCAAAGAAATCCTGGGCGTGGCCAGCAGGGGCCTGGGCTCCGGAAGAAGGCACTTTTCTGAGCACATGGCCTCTGCCCCAACATGGAGGATCCAGGGTAAGATGGAGGGCGTAGTCCTCGCCCTTTCAAATACACCTGGAAAACTGCTGAATGTTCTATTGAGATATTCCTCCTGGGACCACCCTTAAAATCTCCACCCTTAAAACCCTCAGGGCGGAGGACCTGGAGTGCTCTCCCTCCCCTCCCTGCCCCCGCACTTGACCATTCGCTTCCTCACTCCCCAGCTCCAAGGGCCCTTCCTTTACCTCTGTAACCTGTTTCCTAAGCCATTTCTTTTAGGAGTTACTTTTCCCACCTCTACGATTTACCCAATAAATGTTCACGTACAGTTTGGGTCTTGGCTCTGAATTCTTGCCTCGCCAGAACCCAAGTACCCAGGTTGCGGAACCCAGGTCCAGTGTGACCCATAGGTCTAACACCAGTGCCGTTCAAAGTCCCCAACAACCTGAGGCTCCTGGACTCCTGCATGGGCTTGGCAGGGTGCGCGTGTGCCCGCAGCCTCCCTCGTATCACTGGCACATTTTGCTGGAGAGAAGCCTGCAGCTTCTATCAGTTTCCAAAGGGGCGTGGCACGAAGAGCTATTATTTCCGGAGGCTGTGCCAGGCACCTAGGGAAGCACCTGCCACCAGCCTGCACGTCCAGCTTGTTATCTGCTTTTACGAAGCAGTCAGTCTCCCGGCTTCTGTCCAGCCTCCCATGGATCTGATGTGTCACTGCTGGGCTTCCCTTGTTGGGCTCCACACAGGACCTGTCCACTTTTTTTTGTTAATCTTCACCCAAGGATACTTTTTTCCTTTGATTTTTTAGAGAGTGGGAGGGAGGGAGGAGGGGAGAGAGAGAGAGGATGTGAGAGAGACACATCGATTGGTTGCCTTCCACAGTCGCCTGGACCAGGACTGGGTATCCAACCTGAGACCCTGCGGTACCCAGACGATGCTCTAACCCAGCCGTGGGCAAACTACGGCCCGCGGGCCGGATCCGGCCCGTTTGAAATGAATAAAACTAAAAAAAAAAAAAGACCGTACCCTTCTATGCAATGATGTTTACTTTGAATTTATATTAGTTCACACAAACACTCCATCCATGCTTTTGTTCCGGCCCTCCGGTCCAGTTTAAGAACCCATTGTGGCCCTCGAGTCAAAAAGTTTGCCCACCCCTGCGAGTCTAACCACTGAGCACACCACCCAGGACCCTCCTGTTCAAGTCCTGCTGTTCCACTTGGAGGGATGGTCCTCTGAGCTAGAGCTTCCAGTAGCACCATCTGTGCAGACATGAATTTTGGAATAAACCCTTAATCTTACTCGAAAGAGCTTGTGTGCTGTCCCACAGAGAGCTCCTTAAATACCTCCGTTTTTCCAGGTGTCTACCCTCTGCCCCCTAGGGTGCCACTGTGTCCATCAGTACTGGTGCCTTGTTTCGTACTAGCCGGTTTTTCTCGTACAGTTCACCACACTGACAGACGCTTCAATAAATCTTTTATTTTTTCAGGGAGGAAGAAGTTATTTGTGGCTAGCTTACCACTTACTATTTAAAATTCATGCATCTGTGCTGTCTGTATTTCAAGATTAGCTCACACTTGCCGTCGGGACTTATTTAAATGCAAAGTGTCACATGATAGTACTGTCAACACTGGAAGGGAAATAAAACTCCATCAACTTGCTGGCAGATATGGTGACATGTTTCGGTGCCAAACTGCATATATCTGAATGAAATTCCAGCCTCTGCTGAAATTATCTTCAGTTTTATCGTGAGATGTCCATACTGAAACCTGATAGTGTTATTCCTTCTTTTTGACCAGGCATTTACAAATCTAGAGAATTGATTCAGAGAAATAAATTTCCTGTGCTAACTGGTCATCTGCTAAAAACGACATAATACAAGAAGGGTTCCAGAAACATGAGAAATAAATACGCACAATATAAAGCAATCTTTTAAAAATATTATTTTCCATACAGTCTATCAGTTTCAGGTGGCAACACAATGAGCGACCTTTTGTTCTGAAGTAGGTTGGACCAGAACCAAGGCCCTGCCAGCTCCGTGGAGCGGTGCCCGCTCCGAACAGAGGGTGAGGCCCAGCAGGTGGTTCGCTGGGAAGGTGGCGGCGAGCCAGGGCGCGGGCCCGCCAAGGCAGCACGCAGGGTGCAGGGCTGGACCCCGCAGCCCTCATTTCCTAAGGGGCCTGGTTAGGGCGGAGGGTGCTCGTGTCACGCGCGGGGGGAACAGCAGACACCCGGGCCCGGAGCCGAGCTCAGGCCCCGCCTCTGCACTGACACCATCGCACGGACTTCCTGGGGCCTGGCGACAGCTTCCAGCCCCCCCACCCCCCCTTCCACGGGGTCAGGGTCACGGCGTCCAGTCCCACCCCGGCTCCCTCGGGTCAAGGTTCATTCTTTAGCCCGGCCCCACCTGCGCCGGCTGCGCGCAAGTGTCCCCTGTGGGGCCGGTGGTGACGCAGGCGGCGCAGAGACTGAGGGACAGGCGCGTGGCGCCACCCTAGTCCAGGTGCACGACCCCGAGACCACCGGCCTACAGCGCACGCGCCCCGCGTTTCCGGGCGCCGCCGTCAGGCCCCCGGGGGCGGGGACTCGGCCGGAAGCAGCCCTTCGCGGCGCAGCGCGGCCCAGCCGCCGAGAACCTTCGGGAAGGCTGGGGCGGGAGAGGCGCATGCGCGGCTTCAGGCCGGGCGGAAGTGAACGCGGCACGCCGCCGCCGCGTGACGCACTTCCTGTTTGTTGTTGGAGAAAGGAGAAAGGAAAGCGCGAGGAGCCGCCGCCGTCACCAGCGCCGCCGCTCAGAAGCCGAAGAGACCGGGCTGCCGCCCCGCCGCCTTCCCGCCGCTGCCTCCGCGTGCTGGTGAGGCCGCGCTGGGGACGGCGGCCGGGGACCGGGGCTAGGGTCGGGGCCGGGGGCAGAAGGCCGGCGGGGACCCGTGTGGGGCCGGGGCTGGAGGGCCGGAGGGCCGGGCACGGTTCTGATTCCAGGCCGGTCTCGTCCTGTCTCGGGGTCCCGACCCGCGCCGGCGGTTGGGGGGGGACTCGTGCGGGCGGTCGTCCGGGCCCCCGCCCCCGTCCGGCCGGCCCGGCCGTGTCCTCCCAGGAGCGGCCGAGGGCCTGCGGCGGGAGAGGCCGGCTTCTCCCCCTTTTCTGGCCCCAGAAGGTAGACTCTCCTAAAGCGGGGACGGGGTCCGTGTGCCCGCGGCGCACCGCGGGCGGGCGGGGCGAGGGGACGCTTCCAGAACTCTCCTCGGGCTTCTGAAAAGTTTGTCCCTGAGCACAACAACGCCCGTTTCACTTCTCCGTACCGCGGCTTATGTAACTGAAGCTTGTGCCATTTTTGCCCAAGTATGGGAAGGATGCAAGGGGTGCAAAAGGGACACTTGGTGTCGCCTCGGAAAAGGTTCTCGGAGCCGGTGCCGGTCCCGGTCCCACAGGCCACCCTCGTTCCCCACCCGCTGGCTTTGCCGCCGGAAGGAAGCGGGGTGGAGAGGTCACACCTCCCCCCGGGGGCGCTGCCTGCGGTTTCAACGTTTGCATTTCAGCTGTGGATTCCTAGGGAGATTTTGTGACCCTGGCCTATTGGATCTTTTAAGGCAGCTGACTGAAAAGTTCAATGACCAAAAGAGGGAGTCATCGTAAGAAACGTTCAAACCTGTAGAGAATTTTTATGAGTTTACTTGAGCCAAACTGATGACAATGGCTGGAGCAGAAACCTCAACAGATTGAGAAAATGTTCCGGAAAATGGCAGTCTTGCACCTTATTTTTTATACATTAAAGTCAAAAAGGAGATGTAATTGGGTTGCTTGAAATTCATTGGTCATAGATTAGGAAGGTGGGAGAAAGCAAAGTGGGGGAACCATGGGATTGGATGAGAAGTAAAATGATAGACACACTTTTTACCTAGATGGGTACGGGATAGTTAGTCAGTTGTTAACTGGTTAATAAAAACAATGAGGGGATTTGTGGACTCTGCTCTGGTCTGTGCGTGCACTTGGAGGGGACCAGAGAAAAAGGAAATTTTATTGCAGTGGCTTGTTTATCAGGTTTTTTATCCTAGATGCAAAAAGACAACGCGGTCTGAGTTAAGGTGAAGATTCTTAAGGCCGGGCCGGCGTTGCTCAGTGGTTGAGCGTCCACCTATATGAACCAGGAGGTCACCAACCGGTTGCGGTCGGGGCGGGTTGCGTGCAGGAGGCAGCCAATGATCCTCTCTCATCATTGATGTTTCTCTCTCTCCTCCCTTTTTCTTTGAAATCAACAAAGAAATACTAAAAAAAAAATTATTAGGGAAAAATACTGCTCTAGGCCATGACTACCCACTAATAACTGCTTTTAGTTAAAAAGTTTTAATTTCTCTGATTTTGTAAGGCTGCCCGCCACACAGGTCTCCCCTGAATTGTCAGGTTTAGTATGTGGCTCCTTTTAGTCCACAAGGGAAATATAAACCCATAATTTGAAATATGTTTGCTAATTCTCCTTTAGGTGTAATCACAGTTCTTAAAAAATAATTGTGAAGATAAATGTTTAAGGAATTACTATCCTCCCCCATCTACCTAGTTCACCCACCCCCTGGTTCTCTGGGAAGTTTCATGCAACTGTTCTTGTTTCCAATGAGATTTCGGCTGCTGTGGGGTTAGGGCTGTGTGCACTCTGATGAAAAGGCGAGTGCACCTTTATTTACATCTGATGAGCTGGGGTTCTTTCCGATTATGCAAAACATGCATTTGGGGAGGTGTGGATGACTTGACAGGAAGTGGGAGGGAAAGAAATGGGCTGAGTGTGGAACTGAAGATGAGAAAGTGGGGGGATTCAGTCTTTAAAAAAGAATGTCAGATGAGTTCAGTGTTCTCTTCAAAACATATGTCTGTTCTTTTGGATTTGAAAACTGTACTTGGGAGGTATTCCTGGTTGCAGGACAGGGTGGGGAGTGTTGAGTAATACGCTGAACTGAGTGCTGGTGAGGGAACTTGTCTGATACCTGCAGCTGAGAGTCATACAATAGCTTTCCTGTTTAAGCAATCCCATTGTTTTTAAGTGGTAGAACCAAGAATATTTTCTCTTGGATAGTTTCAAATCTACAATTCTACTGGTCACCAGTATCAACAGCTTTCTACCTAGCAAACTCAAAATCCAGGTTTGGTCTATGGTGTGTGCGTGTATGTGTGTGTTTTACAACTTCAGGGGGCACTTTAAAGCTTGGCAGATATTTTAAATTCATTTTTTTTCGGGTCCCTGTAATCCTCCCCATGTCACCTTAGTGGTGTGACTGGTTCCTTCCTGGGGGGTAAAGGTCAGCTGCTATGTTGGTGAATTCTTCTGGGTGATTGCACAGCACTTCTGGTGGCTGTGCTGAGCAGTAAGTGAGCAGAATCAGCCCTTGTGCGTTGATACTTTACCAGGATTTTAAAAGAACTTTATTTCTTTTTGCCTTTTCACTTCCTAGGAAATGAGTCTAGAACAGGGGTGGGCAAACTTTTTGACTTAAGGGCCACAATGGGTTCTTAAACTGGACCGGAGGGCCAGAACAAAAGCATGGATGGAGTGTTTGTGTGAACTAATATAAATTCAAAGTAAACATCATTACATAAAAGGGTATGGTCTTTTTTTTTTTTTTTTAGTTTTATTCATTTCAAATGGGCGGGCCGTAGTTTGCCCAAGGCTGGTCTAGAATTTAGGATGCTGGTGTGTTAAAAATTGGTTTGATTTTAAATTTGTCCAGGACACCACCTCGTGGTGCAAGGCAGGTAACTGCAGGCTTATTAGTGAACTAGGATGGGGGGAGGGCTAGTGACAAGATTGAACAAATTCTGTAGTTTCTCTGAATAGAATTTGGGAAAACTTCAAACTTGAAAAAAAGGGGCTAAATAAGAAGAGCAAGTGGGCGAAGGTAAGAACAGTGCTAGAAATGGAAAGCCAGTTTTAATACCTAGTTGGAAAAATGACACTGCATAAGCCACGTGGCAAACATTTGATGATTTTTTGTTTTGATTATAAAGTGTTTTTCCAAACTTTGTATTTTTAAAAAGAATTTTTATTCTTGAAAGTATTACATGTGTTCCCTTTTCCCCCATTGACCCCTTCTAGCCTGCCCACCCCCCATAAACTTTGTATTTTTAGGGGGACTTAAAAATCACAGTTGACCCCTTTTGTTTTCATAGCCTACATAAGAAGTAAATTTAAAGAATGTTTTTAAGGAGGGGAAATTAACTTCTGAAAAATACAAGTAGTTACATTTCTAAGGTTTACAGTATATGTCAAAGTAGAGAAGGTTCTGTCGTTGTGTCCTTTACCCTTGGTACCTTATTTCAGAAGCTTTATTTTATCTAGGCATAGCTTGGTTTGCTCACATTTTTTTTTTACCTTATATAAAATTTGTAAGAAATTTTTGCCATTGTAAATGAAAAACAATGGCAACCGTTGCTTATGGCTGCGAGGCTATAGAACTATTAGTACATCCAATACTCCAGCTTTGTTAGGATGCTGATAATCTTCGGTCCATTCTGTATGGGACTGTTTCTGCTTTGTTTATTCATTTGTTTTGGTTTTTAGATTCTACATATAAGTGAAATCCTTTGGTGTTTGTCTGACTTATTTCTCTCCTCCCCTCCCCCCTTTTTTAGTTTTTTTTTTTTTTTTTTTAAATTGATTTCAGAGAGGAAGGGAGAGGGAGAGAGAGAGACAAACATCAATGATGAGAGAATCACTGATCGGCCGCCTCCTGCATGCCCCCCAACGGGGATCGAGCCTTCAACCTGGGCACGCGCCCCTAACCAGAATCGAACCTGGGGTCCCCTTAGTTTGACGCTCTGTCCACTGAGCCAAACCACTAGGGCACTTATTTCTCTTAGCACAATACACACTAACTAGGTCCTTACATGCCACATATGGCAACGATTTCATTCTTTGTGGCTGAGCAATTTTCCATTGTATGTCTACACTACTGGATCCATCCATCTCTGGGTGGACACCTAGATTGTCCATGTCTAGGCTCAGGCTCAGTTGCAAGTGTCAGTTGTCTTTGAAAGAGTGATTTCCTCAAGGAAGAATGTGGTTTTGTGCCCTTTAAAATTCTCACCCTACCTTTCCCCCAGAGGCATTTAGAGTTTGCCTGTGTTTGTGTGCGGGTGCTGGGCAACCCTGTGCATTCCTCAGGGTAGGCCTTGATGTGTTCCTTTGTGCCTGTAGCATTGTCCCTGCCAGAGTGCTCAGAAAGTACTGGTTGAATTGGATCCTTCTACTTTGTTTGCGTTGATTCCTGTTCTGCAGTTAATGGTGGGATCCAGAGTTTAGGAAAGTTGAAAAGTATACACATAGCATACAGTTTGAGTTCACAAGTATGAGGGACAGTGTTGGCCATTGTGTTCTATTTTATTTTAATGGAAGGAATCTAATAGGTGACAGTGGTGTCCATCCTGAGTCATAGAGGAAAAACTTCCCTTTGTGTGTGTATGTGTGTGTGTTTTTTTAAAAAAATATATTTTATTGATTTTTCACAGAGAGGAAGGGAGAGGGATAGAGAGTCAGAAACATGGATGAGAGAGAAACATCAAACAGCTGCCTCCTGCACACACCCCAGTGGGGATGTGCCTGCAACCAAGGTACATGCCCCTGACCAGAATCGAACCTGGGACCCTTCAGTCCACAGGCCGGCGCTCTATCCACTGACAAACCAGTTAGGGCCCTTTGTGTGTTTTAGGAAAGCTCTAGGGCAGTGGTTCTCAACCTTCCTAATGCCGCGACCCTTTAATACAGTTCCTCATGTTGTGATGACCCCCAATTTCATTGTTACAAATTGAACATAATTAAAGCATAGTGATTAATCACAAAAACAATATGTAATTATATATGTGTTTTCT